AATAAGTTGGTTTTTTTCAGTTTCTACAAAGCTTAAATATTAGCCATGTCGGCTTTCTTCAAATTGCTATTTCCTCTAGGTTTCTATTTTCAGAAAGAAGTTGCTATTAATGTTAGCATGATGTGCTAAATTAATAAATACGTAGATGAAAAAGACTCTTAAATATGTTTAAATGAATAACAGGTTTGACTGTGCCAGCTGGTTCAATGAATTGAAGTGACTGAAAAAAACCAACTTATTCTTTTGAGAAAACAGAAATTAGTCAACCCTATTGCTTAACACAACTGGCTAGTTATTGTATTAACTGATAAATCACAGGAAACATTTCATCTGCATGCAGATATCATCTGGCTAATCAGTATGCTTTGTACCAAATAAAACGCACAGTAAATATTAAATATATTCATTATACTTTGTCTACTAATTGTATTACTTTTGTTAAGCTAATCCACACTAAAAAGTAACCATTCTTCTTGAGAATCCTATTTAAAAAATTATACATTAAGCAATGAAAAAATAAAATATGGTAAAATAGAAACTTCATGGGAAAATAGAAATAGCTGCTTAACTCCAAAAGAAGTTTTTGTGATAATTTAAAATTATAATCTTTTAAAAATTTTTCTACCTTTGAACAAGAACTGAATACAAAATTAAAAAGAATGAAAAAGGCGTTAAAGAACATTAGAAAGATAGGCAAAATTTGACTAAATCAAGCACAGAATAAATGATATTATTAGCCGAAATAACCAGCAAAAAATTCTTAGTTGTAACAAGTGGCATTAAAATTACAAACACCACCAATAACCATTTAAGTGTGTGAAAATACACAAAGTGACATATACAGCTTCTCTCGAATCAAAAAAGGAATTCTCTCAGCATCCAATTCACATTTTAATAGGCATATTTCTTAGTTTCAGAAAAATGTCTAAATAAGTTAGCATAATAATGCAGAAAGATAGCTTCTCCTATCTTGGCAACATTTACTTTCCATCATCTGTTCATAACATAGAAAGTAGTTACTACAGCACTATGAAGAATTCCCAATTTAAAGAAAAATGTAGAAATAAGGGTAATACTTTTTAATTTTCTTCTTGCCACCTTGATACTTTCTCTTATATCCGCAAGATATGGAAAGAGAATTAAGAATTATCATTTAAATACAAGGTTATTTTAAGACTGCATCTTGTTACTCAAATAAACATGAAGCTTCCGTGTAACTTGCTACAGTATGCAATCAAGTACGATATGGATCCATTTTGGATTCTATGTGAACAGGGTTATTTTCTGGAAGGACCTTATCATAACATTTGGTTTTCATATGTAAATGGTCCTACTGACATAAAGCTCTGCTAAAACAACTCTGATAGATTTCTCAGGCACTGGAATGCATCTCTGAAAATATCCAGATTCTAAATAAAATGATCATATGCATCTCTTCAAATATACATTGGTAACCTTAGGTCAGTTAATGATAACTTACTACAGTCAATAGGACTATTACTAGAAACCTACTAGGTTAAACATACACATACATTTTTTCCATATTGTCAGTTTGAGCTACATAAATACTTTCGAATTGTATCCTACAATATGGTACTACACAAATCTTCCTCTGAAAATCATGTGTGATTACTTCAGTAATATAAACTCCTACTCCTTCAGTTTAAACAGCATTGGAAGATTGTTATTGTTATAAAATAAGATTTTCAGCGTTTGTAAGGAATTGCTGAAATCTCACTTTAAATCCTCTGATGGCTCAGGTCTTTTCCTTATGTTCCCACTTCTAACGTTTTTAAGGTAACTGAGCACATCTGGAAGGTATACCTCTGAAGCCTCTGTGGTCTTAAAGATTATGAGAAAAGAGCTTCCATACTTAAGAAACTACATTTGACATTGAGGTTTTATTTGAAACATTTTACATTTTAAGAACTCTTGGCAAGCTTATCTTAAATTTAGTTGTCGCTCTGTCTGGTAAGTGACCTGGCTTTCATAGAGCTATAGAAAGTCTTGAATGACACCAGTGACAAAAAGACAACCCCAAAATTAAAGATTAAAACAGTGTGTTATACATTATGTAGTTCTAAAATTCACGAATGCAAAGATCACAAAGAGCTTGCTTTGCCTTACAGGGGGAAAACACCCACTGAAATACTTATGATTACATAAAGTATAAAACCTGGCCATTTATTTTAGTCGCTCTGGGGAATAAGCACAGACTCGGATGGATCACAATACCCCATTATTCTAGCATAGAACACCAAGTCCTTACTCAGTTCAAACACATTTTTATTATAATTCCCAACACAAGTACCAGAATGTTGTTTTATGTTAGCAACTCTGTTCTTAATCATCTAAATAAATGCTCCAGAGGAATTGTATGCTGGATTTTGGGAGGCAAGACATTGTATACAATTTGTAAGTTTCTTGACCATATCAAGAATGTTAGATCTAATCTGGAAAATTATTGGGCATACTTTTCCCTGGGAAAGCTTTTCTTGAGTATTAAATTATTTGAAAAGAACCTAGGCAAAGGAAATCATGTATTCAAAATTCTCCCACTCTCAATGTTTGCACAGCTTTTTCTAGAATCTAAATTCATACACACAAAAGACTTGAGTCTTCTTTTATAAGCATGTAATCTTTCCTTTCCTGTTAGACCACCAAGAAAAGAAACATTGTTTTTCTGACCATTAATTTGATCAGGAAACCATATCTGTATAGGTTTTAAAATACAGATATATGTGCATAAAAATATGTAGTTACATGATACACAAGAAATATAGATCAGAGTCACACTACAAAATGGCTTTATCCACTGAGTCATCAAATTTTGCACACTGTACTAAAACGAGCATATTTATTCTTGTGTTGTCCGGTCTTACTGGCATAGTTAGGACTCCAACATTAAAACTGGACTTCCATTTTTTTCAAGTTACAGTAAACATTTTTTAGAATATTAATTAAAGAATGAGAAACTAAAGAATAAAGAAACTGAAAAATAATTTTTGCATTTTAGGTGATTATCTGTAGTCAGTGTAACATTTGAAAGCATTTGGCTGAAAAACACAATTGTGATTTGGATACTTTAATTAATCTGCTTAAACACTGCTGAACAAAAATTTGATGTGACAACTGCTTGCAGCTATTTACTAATTTGAGCATGTAAAACATATAATTGTTTCTGCCTTTCAGTCAGCACAATTACATTTTTAGTTAAGATTTCCTTTCTTCTCTAGTGTCATACTTAATATTGGTTATCTTCCTCTTCAAAACATGCTTTTAAAATAAAACTCTCAGAAATATAACTTTTGTTAGTAATGGTTTTTTTGGTCACCCTAATCCATAACTTCGATATTAACAAATTTTATTATTTCTTACGTTTTGGTTTTCACAGAATACTTTAACCATTCACATTTGTGTGTATTTGAAATGTGATGTAACCAGTTAGTGTTCTGTTGTTATACCAGTTGACAGACAAAATCGACTGTTAGGACTATTTGCTTTCCATTTCTTTTTCTGCTCAAAGTGAAATATCCTGTAAAAATGGCATCAAGATAATGCTAAGCAATAAGATTTTAAATGAAAAGCACAAAACCACACAAGAAACTCTCACACAGATATAAGAAATTTATGGATTAGAATGCAGTTTAGGAACATAATTCTAATGATACAGCTTGATGTTATTTCATATAAGAATGTGTTTAATGAAACCTATATCAGTATGTTGAATTCCAACATTGACTATAGTGATGATTTGAGAGGCATTCTCACAAAAAAGCTGGGTTCTTTGATGTTTTTAAAAAATTGCTGATTCCCAGTGATGATTTCAACCAAGATTCTTGCTAGTGTCCAGCTAATTGTCCCATGCATCTCTTCTAAGAAGAAAAATGACACCACCCACGCATGCTTGTGACCTACTCACACTAACTTAAAGCCACAAACACCAAAAATACACCTTGAAGTTTGTCCAGAATTCCCTGGGATTTTCTTCATTAAGTTGGAAGAACTTGATCATAAGCAATCACTAAGGTCACCAAAATCCAGGGCATTAGTAGAAATGCTACTAAGAACATGTTTTTAAAAACAGTTCTTGGAAAGCAGGAAATCCCTGGTTTGCTCACACAGAACAAAAGATTCTATCTCATGTAAAACAACTCTACTATTTATAAAAATGGTGCAGATGACAACAGAATTCAACTCCAGATAAAATCTTGTTTGTAATATTTGACTAAGGTATCTCTAAGTCTTTTAGTTCTATTGCAAAATGTTTGAGAAACCAGAAATTTAAAAAAAGAACTGCCGGATTTCATGAAATGTACTAATGAAATTGCTCTGTGAGCATGAAGCTGAATTGTATGCTTTTGTTTATTTGGCTATGATTTCATGAATGATTTTCACAAGAAAATCCAAATCCAAATTTATTATTGCAGTTGATTAATAATAGAAGTTACTACCCTTACAAATATTTTGAGAAATAAAACTTCTTTCATGAAAATGTGGTATTCTTTCACAGTCTTCTACCTTAGGGTAGACAAGGTTAAATTTTTTTGTGTAGGTACAAATTATTTCCTTGTAAGTTTAAAAAAATAATTATTCCTCATGTTAGAATAAAGTTTTTCTTTTTTTAAGATGTGTGTATTAGTGTCTGGCTTCCACAATACACAAACCTGGCCATATTTTATTTGAAAATGTTAGTAGGTAAATTAAGCCTGGTGGAGAAGAAGAAGTTGAAATAGACATATTGAATTAAATAAATGCCATAAATTATTTCTTTTTGTAACCTCTATCTAAATTGTTCTTAGTAGACTGTTTGGAAAAAAATATAACCTAAGGTCCAATTCTCCAGGTGCGAACACTGAAGATTTATATTTAACCGAGTTAATGGACATTTTAGCTCTAATGTGTTTGTACACATACCAGAAGCATGAATACAGTAAGACTGGTACTTCAGTCTGCATAGAGGATTATTCCTGCATTAAGCATTGCATTTTACATCTGAGGTCCTTTTTTAGACACTAGGAAAAATGTGTGGCCTCTGGCAAAGTCACAAAGGAATCCAAAACTGCCTGCAAGACCTTATCTCATTATTTCTTTTACTTCCCACCCCCGCCTGGGAGGCAGTCTACCTTTAATCTACAGATTCTGGTACCATCAGGTTTTGTTCATCTTTGGTTAATTTACACTCTATAAAAATTCTGACCAGAGTTCCCATTACGCTTTTGGTGTCTCTGTATTTTGGAGTAGCCCAAAGCTGCAAAGTCAAGAAACAACTGTGTCATGGTACGATTTCAGGTCTTCAAAATTTCAGGGATATTTGGTGATGGTAGTATATAGTAGGTTGGAGAACTTATCCATTGCTCTTGTCACCAAGAGCTTGTTTTACCACCATTAGGAAGTATTTAATTAAAACTAATACTCTTCCTTCTGCTCTGTAAAAAGTCAGCCACTGAGGCAGTTTTTAAAGAAGTTCAAAGCAAGTTCCCCACCCTCCCAACAGTACTGTTTATCTATAGGGAGTCGAGCTTGGACAATACATTTCAGTGGAACTAAATTCAGTTGAAGTAACAAATCTACAGAATTGTTGATACATATAAGCACTTATGGAAATGCTGATTTTCTTTTTTCTGATTGCAGCAATCTGAAAAAGTAAATTTATAAATATATCCAGAGTAACGGTATAGGCAATGAGGAATAAATATAATCAGTGATCCGGTGAGGCATATTTCTTGGAAGTTAGCAATGGACCTAGAACTAGTATCCTAATAGCGTATTGTAATTATAATTAAACCATGATGTGAAATAATTTTAAAAAATCAAAGTCTTTGTTCTCCAGCTTTGAATATATACACCAAATGTGTGGCAAAAAAGAAATGTTGGTCTTTCAATTATTTCAGCATTTTATGTAAAAGTGATTAACTGGAGAGCATCATTAACTTCATCTCCAGTTTGTGCTTGTGGAAAAGAATCTAAAAAAGGGACCAAATTATCAATTTATTTCCTAGAGATATTTCCTCAAGCACAGTTCACGGACCAGTATGAAAATAGTGTCTTTTTGGTGTTTGAGGTGAAATAGAAGGGATTAGAGAGAAGTTGTTAAACTTAACTACACATATATAGAGAAAAACCCTAATGGCTATAATTGTGGGACTCTTCTTCAATGTTTGCACCTCTCAGGATCTTTGAGGAAGACATGTCAATAGGAAAACTACAGAGTGGAACAACAAAGCAACTTATAATACAGCAAGAAAATAAAATGATGTGATGGGAAAGTCTGATCTGCTAATTTATGATTTAATGAGTTAAGAAACATTGAATTCTAAAATTTAATGACATTAAAAATATTTGATAATAGACATATACTGCAATTCAAATGTTTTTGGACATATTCATACAGTTTACATATATTCATTTGAAAAATGAAAGATTAACATTAAAAATTTAAAGACCTTAATGTTAGAACATTTTATATGTTTTTATGTTATTTAAATATAATGCAACTTTGAGGTCAATAAGTAGTAAAGTTTTAAACAATGAAAAATCATTATAATCCATAAGGGCATTTATGTGTAATGGAGAATTTAAGATTTTAGGGGGAAAAACATCTGAGAATGGTATAAGGTGTTAATATAGAAGTAACAATTTTTATAGCAGTGACAACAATGGCACTCACATATATTGCTTTTCTTTTTTATCTGAACAAAGGGCAATGTTCTAGTTCAGTGAGCAATTGCAATTTTAAAAAAATTACACTTCTAAGAAAGGTAATAGTCTCCTATTTTAAAAATGCAGGTTTTGGGAAAGACAAAAACTTCTTTTATGATGCGTTTGAAGATTACATTGACCAAAATGGAAAGAAATGTATTACTTCCTTGTCATTCATTAATCAGAATCATATTCTTATTACTTCCGAGATAACTATGCTTCTTAATGAATATAATTTATCAACATCCATAGAGTAATTTTTTGGAGTGGTTTCATGCTGAAGAAAAATGCAGAAATTCTAATGCAATAATTTCCCTATTTTGCTACCCGACAGGGTGGAAAAGAAAAAATGATCAGTCAGAGGGAATGCAGTAGGTATATTTTAATTACTACATAAAACTTTCTTTACCTACTGTTTATAAATAACAATCTTATGAACTGATTTAAAAGAAACTGTCATCCAGTTTCTCCAAGTATGAGAGTGTAACTTTTAAATAGAAGATTACATCTCAAAATGAAACCTCTCATTTTCATCTCTATCCATATTTTGGCTTGAAATTGCTTATGTTTTTTTGTAATTATGCTTTAAATGTTTACAAATTAAGGCAGAGTTCTTTATCATTTGGGTTTTAGTTATAGTAACTTACAGATTTCATCACAATTAAGCCTATTAGGATAAGCTGTGAAGAGATAATTTCACAAACCAATTTTCAAAAGCATACAAGATTAATCCATATGCTGCTGAGATGAGGCACAATAAAGAAGCATTACTGAGATAATCTATGGCTAAAATGATGGTGTATGACTTATGATTAAGCTTCATTACCTGCAGAGCAAGGGGCTTCCATCTCATATTTTTCAGTAAAGCTGGTGCTGAGGTAAGCATGCTCTGAGGTCGCTTTTTCAAAGTTAAGATAACACCACTCGGGTCCTCTCGTAGTGCATTCACCAAATTTTTCAACTGCCACCCCACCTGGTAACCAGCAAAATCATTACAATAAAATTGAGGTACAGTATTCAAAGATTTAATGTTCTCCCCCTTTAATAAGATTAGTTTAAAAAAAAGAAAATCACATAATTGGTGTACCATCCTATCAATTTTCAGGAGATAAATACTCAAAAAAGAAATTTTATCTCTGAATTGATTAACCATGTTATTGCATTAGAGTCCATATTATTATGAGATAACATAATGGACATTTACCATGTCAAAGCAGAGACTAAAACTGTATCCTGCCAATGGAGTAATTTAGAGTTTAAAGAAATTATGTCATCATTAATGCTGTGCAAGGCCTAGATCCGAGCTCTGTTCACAAGTACAATTCGAAAATCCACATTCTTGAAAACAAGGATTTTGCAATGTCCTGAGCTTGCAACCTATACCACATGCTTTCTCATCACCATCTTTTAGAGATATGTGGTATAAGTCTCTCTAAATTAGACTGACTTTAAACTACTGATAGCTGGTACTGACAAATCAAGGCAACATTCTGATGCATAGAAGATAGCATCAATAAAATTAACCTTTTACCACGCTATAAGAATAGAAGAAAAACGACAATGTAACACTACTCCCTGCAGAAGCTATTGGAAATGTGTCCCAAACGACCCTATGAACTTAAAATATAATGTGCTGAATTTAATGAAGCCATTCTGTTTGAGTATCACCTCAAAACATATTGTATAATTAAATCCAAGTACTTAATAAATGTCCTGAAACCTGACTTAACTGATTTCCATGTTAAATCACTTCACTCATCATCCTTTTAAGATTTTAAACATAGAATAATTTGTTAGTTTGCTTGAAGATGGACTAGTTATGCAGTTAATCAGGTAACTGAAATCCTCTATGCTTTGAAGCACATTAAAAATAGATATTGCTCTAAGACTTAAAACACACACACACACACACACACACACACACTTCACACTTAAAAAAGAGAAGAACCTTTACTCTAATGGATTAGAATTTTCCAGGATGTCATACAAATACATTGGATCAAAATTTATCCTGGATTACAAGCAGGATTTGACAAGTGGTCTGAACAGTAATCTAGTTTCTTCCTAGGCACCCAAGTGCAAGGGAATGGGTACTCTTGTCTGTTATTCGCCACGTTTTTGCCTGGAAGATAATGATCAAGCTGAAAAGAATAAGCACTTCCACCGAAAGAATCACAGATCCTGAGACTACGATGAAGCGGTGCTCTGGACTACAGCCACTGTGGGATAATGGGATACAGTGGTTTACATAATGCATGAGCATTCATTTAAATCCCAACCGCTACTGCAGCTGAAAGGAGTGATGGTGAAGAGAAAAAAAGTCAGGACAGAAAAGAAGTGACAGGGTACAATGCTTAAAAACTCAGGGAGGGGTCCCAGATATGAATCAAAACGATCATTGTGATACTTGCCTAACACAAATAAGAGGCTGCCAGTTTTTTTTTAAAATCACATTAATGCAGAGAACTCAAATGTCTCCCATTACATATCGGTGAGGATTATTATGTGCCCAGAGGTGTACTACATTGAGTTTGAATCCTCTGATAGCTAAGAAGTATCTCTGCAGTCATTTCTATAAGCCAAGAGTCAAAGCAAAATGAATTCAAATCCAAGTGTTCATTTTTCTTGCCAAAAAAATAAGTGAGCAGATTTTTGAGTTCAAAGTTTAGAGGAGAAAACGTGCTGTTTATATGAAGAGTTTATGAACAACTTATTAATGATAACCACATTTTCTCATTAATTTTATTTATTCAAATAATTACTAACGATACTAAAACAGTCAACATGATGGTCATCTTTTTCTTTTAGCATATGTATTCTCAGCAATTACACATTTCTATCCATCAATTTCTTTCCATTTTTTTCTGTTATGATCATTGTGACTAGTTGAGAATTTCTAAGGCTAGATGGTGTTTTCCTGTATGATGTTCCTTGCAATTTGATTCAACTTGTTCTTTCACACTTTATGCTCTTTTTGAATATACAATCCCCCGAAATAGATCTGTTTTTCCATGAAAAGGTAGAATTGTTTTTTGATGAGAAAGCAGCAATTTGGTTAGATTTTAATTTTATAGCTGAATGTTATTACATGGCAGAAAAGTATATACTTTCACTATTTCTTTCAGTTTTCTTTTTTTTTTCAAGTTTTTATTTAAGTTCCGATTAGTTACCATACAGTGTAATATTAGTTTCAGGTGTAGAATTTAGTGCCCCAATACTTAAATTCAACACAAGTTTTACTATTTATCAATCAGTCTTCCCCCTCTGACTGACATAGAATCAGGAATATTTTAAACAAAGGTAAGCAAATATCCATGAAGACCCATATAAAGTATGTACCTTTGATTCCCCAATTCTACTTCCACTCCCATAAGGAAATGATTTGGATAAAAGCAGAGATGAATGTGCAACACATGTGCCACAGTACTGTTTAAACCAACCCCGAACTGTACATTATGTAAATGCCCATTAGTAAGGGATATAAAAATTGTTGTGTAGAAAAAAAGGAAGTTCCAAAATAGCAAATGTAACTCAACTCTACCTTTGTAAAAAAAAATTATATAAATATAGAAAACATAGAGACACAAAACATCATGAGCAGTGGTTGTGTTAAAGGGGAATAAGGTCGAGGTGAACAATGAGAGACTATGGACTCTGAAGAACAATCTGAAGGGTTTGAAGAGGTCGGGGGGTGGGAGGTTGGGGGAACCAGGTGGTGGGTATTAGAGAGGGCACGGATTGCATGGAGCACTGGGTGTGGTACAAAAAACAATGAATACTGTTATGCTGAAAATAAATAAAAAAATGTTTTTTAAAAAAAGGGGAATAAGGTCTACAGTCTATATTTTCCTCTTTATACTTCTATTTGCTGAACTTTTAGTGATAAACACATTATTCTTGTAAACAACAAAATGAACAAAATAAATGGACTTAGTCCATGAATAGTAATATTCCATTTAGAAAATCATGAATTTTATGAATTACTTAATGAGGACTGTTTATTATATAGGGACAATTTCCACAGAAAAGTATAGAACCAGAAAGACAACAATATTTAAAACAGTAAAAGTTAGTGATGGGGGGACCACATCTTCTCTGCTAATTATACTTTCAGGGGATTAGCAAAAAAAAAAAAATATTGCCCAGCTGTGTTTATAAGAACTGTATTATCTGTTGATTTTTGGTTCAGTGAATGATTTCAGTAGATAATTAACTGTTAAATCAGGTTCACATATTAATTACTGAATGAGAATGAAGGTGGCTGAGCAATTCACAGCCTATGTGTGACATTTTTCTCAATAACAGATGTAGGTTTTAGCTGTACCAGTCCCACCCAGGGCTTCTACACTCCTAAACAGCAACCGGACCTCAAGTCTCTCATTCAAATAGTCCTTTTCCTAGGAGCTATCTCAAACTCTCAATTTGGTTCATTTCTTCATTAGCTTCTATGTTGTCTACTATATATAATTTGTAACAATTGTAACCATTTATTGGGTTGTACCATGTTCTGTTCAAGGGCAAATATGACATGGTATTAAAGCTCTGGGAAAAATGATTCCCAGCTTTGGTTCTGTGATATCCTAACACATTTTCAGCCATATAATAAGGCATAGTGAATTCTTGAAATTAATTTATTTTTCTTTTAACTGCTATTGAGATACTTATGGTTGAAGATTATAGGGGGGCATGGGTAGTTGGTATGATATAAAGAGGCAATATATGAGTTAGAACTTCATGTGAAAATAAGCAAAATAATCATTTTCCAAGATTACCTCTCCACTTTCCCCTTTCTTTCTGGCTATAGTTTTAAAATATTGTGTGACAGACCCGAATTAGAAACCATGTAATGATATAAAAGTAATTTAAAAAAACGATTGTCATGTATTCTTTACATTGGCTGCAATAAAAGCTTTTCTGTAGTGGAAGATTGAGGGAGATCTGAAAGAAGGAAGAAGGGATCCTAGTGGTGGCTAACATAAGAGGCTAATCCACTAATATGGAAAGGAATTAAATAAGGTAAAAAATTTCACAAGACAGTGGGTTAAGGATACATGTGAAGAAAAATATACTAATAATCAAAGACATCCAAAAAGGAATCAGCTGACTTGTAAAATAGTGAGCTCAATACCAAAAGAGATGTTTCAATATTCTTGCAGAGACTAAATGATTACAATAGATTTCCAAAGTCATGACTCATTCCAACTGTAATACGCAGAATGGGTAGGAAAATGCAAATAGGTGATATAACAACAGATTATGTCCTGGTACATCTCTGATTGCTTGTTCTCTGTCTTTTCTTCCTCCTCACAACGAATAAATGCAGGTGTTTACCCTAGGCTAACTGTTAGGCTCCTTTCTAAAACTGCATCCCATCTTCCTACAAAGGTCTCCTCTCTTTCCAGAGCTTCCAGTGCCAACTTTGTGTATATGCCTCTCACATCTAATCATCCCTGCCTCCTAGAACTCTAGTGACATACTTCCAACAGTTCAGTTCATCCTTACTAATAGCTACTGAATAATCCAGCAACAATAATTCACTATGCTATATTCTTCATAACTATGTTACGTTTCTTTTCTTTGAATTTTCAGTCTTAACATCTGTATGAGGGAAACTATTAAACCCGTTTCACATGTGAAGAAACTGAAGCAAAAAGAGTTGCTAAGTTTTCTCAGCCAATATTATAAATTTGGTTAAGTGGCAAAGCCAGAATTTATATTCATGTCTGTTTAATTCTAAAGCACAAAGCATTACCAGAGCAAGCATGCCCCACCCTCTAAATATCCCATTGGTAATTCAAATGAATGCAACATTTTGAAAATCAAACTCATTATCTCCCTGCTCTCATTCAACATCAGTAAAAAAGTTCCCCATCGTTGTCTCAAATTTGGAGCATGGGGTCACCTATGACCACTTCCCTTCCTTTTTAATCCACTTGTCCTAAAGAATAGATCCTAGCAACTAATGTCCCTTCT